CCATACAGGAGGCGTCTTGAAGCTGTCATTGACAACAAAGGCTTTTGTACAAAGTATTAGATAAATTTCAGTAATTTACAAATAACTTCATTTCTGGTCATTTATGGTTTGATTTCTTTGTATGTATGGATCACTTGGGTTGTTCCCGACATCTGGTGAAAATTTCATGTCATTAGCACCTCTAGTAATATATTTACTGAGAAAAATGGTGACGTGTTCAATACTTATTTTACCTGCTGTATATTTGGGTTTTCAATCAGGAACGACTGCCTTGTTCGCATGCCTCTGCTCATCCCATTAAATTTGCATGGATCTAGTTTTGTGTACATGGGCCTATTTGTGAGTATAAATACCATTTAATTGTTGAAGAAACGAGTGAATTCGAGTGCTCCTTCAGCTGAGTAGTGAGGGTCTGACGTGGTTTCCATCTTAGCTCTGCACACATGCAAAAAAAAGCGTTTATAATTTCAGTCCTTTTTAAAATTTATATGCTTGCATAAATGCACACTATAGATGGCCGAAAATTAAGGTAAAAATTTTTTTGCTTATTGAATGAAGTTTTTTGTTTAGCCAGTTCTTCCATCGTAAAAAAAAAAAGGCAGATCATGAAGCAAGAAGTCACAGTGCTGTTGTCACCCAGACAACGGCACTCCTGCATTAGGCATAATTTTAGAGTTGTTGCTCAAGGGCATGTGGCAAATTTTCAGCATATTACATGGGAATTTTGCAAAGGGTTTCTTTTCCTTGAAAAGTGTCTGACACACTGTCAGGGTCACAGGCTTTTAGGACGGAGCTGATCGACTTTTCCGATACAGCTGTTATCCTTCAGCTTAGACTACACTAACCATATGTGACATTGGTTCCCATGTCTACTATCCACATCCAGAGGCAAACTTTGAGCTTTATTGACTTCATTTGATGAAAAGGAACATTCTGTTTCATTTGCCTTCAGACGTTTGCCCATATTTAACATAAATGGACTAAATTGTGCTTTGACAGCAGATGAGGTTTATGTGAGTTCAAACATTAAAGTACAAACAGCTTTTCAACATATATCCAGTAAATATCTAATGGTTTTTCCCCTAGTTTTTGAATGGACTTGTTGTGCCTTTAAGATAAAAAAAAAAGTAGCTGTGTTCTTTTAAACTATACACAGAGTCCTGATGTGCACCATTTCAACCACCTCCCATCTATGTATATGCTGGTATGATTCAACCCAAAATCGGTTATAACCGGTTGTGCTAAATTAAAGTCAAATGCCTCTGTTTGACTTCATGTGTAACTGTATCCGTCTGTGTCCATAAAGCTAACA